CGGCCAGCCTGGCCCCATGGTGAGTATGGGGGTGCTCGGCCCCCCGGCAGGGCCCATAGCCCTCGGGGGCTTGGAGGGGTCAAGCAGTGCCATGCTGTGCCGTGCAATGCCGTGCTGTGCCATGCAACACCGTGCAAAGCCATGCTTTGCTGTGCCATGCCGTGCAATGCCATGCTGTGCCATGCAACACCGTGCAATGCCATGCTTTGCTGTGCAATTCCATACAACGCTGCACAATGCTGTGCAATTCCATGCAGTGTTATGCCATGCAATGCCATGCCATGCTGTGCTGTGCCGTGCAATGCCGTGCAATGCTCTGCAATTCCATGCAATGCCGTGAGGTGTTGCACGATGCTGTGCAATGCTGCACGATGCTGTGCAATGCTGCACAGTGCCATGCAGTGCTGCACAGTGCTGCTCAGTGCTGTGCAGTGCCGAGCAATGCCGTGCCAGGTGGCTCGATCATCTAACACACTTTCTGTTCTCCTGTTCCACAGGGAGAGCCTGGAATGACTGGACCACCTGGAATAGCCGTAAGTAGCATGTTGGACTCCCAACATGCCCAACTCCGCAAGCCGTGGGATCTCCCAATTCCTGGTGGGGTCTTTCCGATGCAACTCACCCGTGCTGGGGGTGGAAGCGTAATCCCGACCAGAGCAGAGCTCCGGAGCAGCTTCGCTGCCCCGTGGTGTCACTGATCCCGCACGGGGCACTATGCTGGGGGTGGAAGCTAATGCCACCTCCGGTCCCCAGGGCCCCCCCGGACCTCAGGGACCCCCAGGCTCCGCAGCAGAGAAAGGCGCCAAGGTGAGACCGGGTCCCCAGGCTGCTGCCGACCTGTCCCACTGTCCCCCTTCCCACGTGCTGGATGCTCCCTAATCCATGCTCCCACCCTCTGCAGGGATCTCCAGGGCCCAAAGGTGACGTGGGCCCCCGGGGACCACCAGGGACCAGCATCACGGGGCCACCGGTAGGTCCTCCCTTTTGGGTAGCATCACCATCCTCACCGGCTCAGGGAGCGGGAAGCAGCAAGGCCGCAGCTTCCTCCCACGCTCCTTGCCCTCCTCTTCCTCGCAGGGCCGTGAAGGGCAGCAGGGGCTGCCGGGGGTGCCCGGCTCGAGCGGACTGCCGGTACGTAGGGACACGGGGTATGGCACAGCTGGGGACAGGGACACGGAGGCGGCCACGCACTCACCCCTCTGCCTTTCCCGCACAGGGAGAGAAGGGCGCCCGCGGCGAGAAGGTGAGTGGGGACTGGGGTCCCCGTGGGTCCCCCCGGGCTTGTCCCCATATCCCTCACCCTCCTGTTCCCTCAGGGAGACGCTGGCGAATGCCTGTGCCAGCCCGGCGCCCGGCAGGACGGCGGCTCCGTGG